CACGTGCGCTTGTCAGATTTACTGTCATTATATTATAGGTGATATTTTTTATCTCTAATTGTTGTTTTAGCGCATGCGCAGTGTGCGGTAAAATTATCAATTATATTATTAGACATAGTATAGCGATGTTGAAATTGCGTGATATAGCCAAGAAAGTCTTATGGGAGAACCTGATATAATAGCGACTGCTTTTACAGGTTTGACAATAGTTATCAGTTTGATAATCAAAACGTTTTAGTAAATTTTTCTGAAACAAATCTCTTTCATCTGCTACAGACGACTGTAAAACGTGAGCTTGAAAAACACAAGGGTCTAAGATTGTTAGTGCAATATCCGTTATATTTTCAAAACTACTTGTGACGGAAGAATCTACTAACAAGGAAATTGCAGACCCTTACATCAACGCAAAATCAGACGTTGTTTTCACTTGGTAGTGATCTTTTGTCACTATCTAATGAAATACACCAAGAAATTTGAAAAAAAATAGAAGGAATTTACCGAATTAGGTTCGGGGTTGGAAGTTTGAAATGATCAAGGAAATTTTGTTTCACACGATGAAATATGACGCATTACGCGGTAGTTCGTATATCGACCCTGCCACCAAAAATAAAAAATAAACAGTGCTGTATAAACATAAAAAACGTCGATAGCAAATGTTTTCCAATGGGCTGTTCTTTCCGCGCTATTTCCAGCAGAAAAAAATGCTGATCGTGTTGAGAAGTATATCAGTCACGTGTCAAGATTAAATTGTGCTGGTATTGACTTTCCAGTGGCAGAAAATCAAATACCAAAGTTTGAAAAGCAAAATAATATTTCGATTAACGTTTTCGGATTAGATGAAAAAGAAAATGTCTATCCGAGGTATATTTCAGAAAAAAGCTTCACAATCGACTATCAATTTACTGTTTTATAAAATCATTACGTTTGGATCAAAAACTTTAACAGACTAGTTGGAAGACAGTATAATAAAAATAACAACAAAAAGTTCTTTTGTTATCGCTGCTTGCACGGTTTGAGAGACAATGAAACATTACAAAAGCATTTGCAGTACTGTAGTGACGTACAAAGAATAACAATGCCATCTAAAAAAGTATAGCGTGTTACAGTTTGTCCATCATATCATAAACTAAAAATTCCCTTTCGTCATATACGTCGATTACGAATGCTTACTTCAACCTGTACTTGCGTAGAAAATGATCCTAACCAATCGAGTACAAGAAAAATTCAAAATCATGTTCCATGCGGAGTAGCGTACAAGGTAGTTTTGTTGCGCTGATTCGAGATATCTAAACCAATCCAACTCTATCGTGGTAAAAATCCAGCTGTCTGGCTTCTCAAGCAGTTGATTAACGAAGTTGATAATATTACTTATCGTTTGTAAAAGTAACTCCAATTGTAAGAATTAACACCTCAACAAGAATCTGTTCACGAGCCAGCGAAAAATTTTTATATTTGTGAAAAATCTTTTTAACCGGACAACAAAAAAGTACGTGACCATTGCCATTTGACCGGACAGTATCGTGGAGCGGCTCATGACCAGTGTATTTTAAAAATTTCACGCTCCAGATTTTATTCCAGTTATTCTTCACATTTTCGAGGATATGGATAGTCACAGTATCGTATGCAGAGCGTTTTGGTGGATCCGTAGATAGAAAGCTCAGCTACAAACTCGATACATGTCATCAAATGCATATCCAAATAATTTTGAAAAGTAATATGTCAGTTACGGCTAGGTAAATTTGCGTTTTATTGACATGCCTGCAGTTTGTTGGCAGACTCGTTAGATGAGTTAGTGAAAGAGGTTGTAGTAAATTTAATAACCTAAGAGACTGTTTTGGAGATAAATTTAATCTATTAGCTAAAAAAGGAGTTTTTCCATACAGAATATCTCGACGATTGGAGTAAATTTGATGAAAGCATCTTTACCTAGCAAAGACAAATTTTACTCACAACTTAAAAATGAAATATAACGATGACGATACAAGTATGATCACAAGATATCTGGAAAGAGTTTTGATTGTGAGACTTTTGGTGATTATCACGATTTGTATTGAAAACTGACGTGTTATTATTAGCAGATGTTTTGAAAGTTTTTCGAGAAGTGAGTTTATAAGAATTACGGACTAGATCCTTGCTGGTATTATTCTGCCCCGGACTGTCATGGGATGCTTCGTTAAAGTTTAGTAAGGTAAGGTTGGAATTACTACTGACTGATTTTGATATGTTCTATTTTATTGCAAAAGGTATCACGAGGCGGTATTAGCGTGATAACGAAGAATATGCTGAAGCAAACAACTAATATTTGAAAGAGTATAATCCTGACCTTCCTTCGAAGTATATAGATATCTAGATTGTAATAACTTGTACGGGTATTCGATGGCAGAACAATGCCGTTTGGTGGATTTCATTGGATCACGGCTGATCAATTTCTATCAGAGACAGAAAAAAAGATATCCCTACGATGTTCGTATTTCGTTTGAGTTGATCTCGATTATCCAACTTCGCTTCACAAACTACATAACGATTACCCTTTCTGTGCGGAATCGATGGTTATAGATTATAGTTTTGTTATCAGAGAACAACCAAGCGTCAGCATTACCAAGGACAACACTCTATGGTCAAGAAACTAGTACCTAAATTTGCTTCATAAACGTACATTGACTGTTTTCTGCATTACAAAGCTTTAAAACAAGCAGTCGATGCTGGACTCGTGTTGAGAAAGTTCATCGCGTACGAAAATTTAATCAGTCTCCGGGATACGAGGTATATTAACTCGAACACTACAAGAAGAGCTGCGGCTACAAACTGTATTTGAGAAAAACTTTTTCACAACCGATGAACAATTCTGTTTTTGGTAAGACGATGGAGAATATTGAGGAAACGGCGTAAATATCGAACTAGTCAATTATGTCAATCGCAGAAACCAACTTGTGTCAGAACGATATTTTGTGATCATGAAAATAATTAATTAGAATATTGTTGCGATACTAAGAAGAAAAACAAATCTAAAACTAAAACAAGCCGATCTACGTTGGAGCTTCAGTGTTAGATTTATCAAAGTGCTGATGTACGATTTTCATTATATTTTTTTTAAAAATCATTGGCCGGCTAGTAGATTATTATTTACTGATACTGATTCGCTCGTATATGAAATCGAATGTGAGGACATCTATCAGGACATGCATGATAATAGATATCTGTTTGATCTTTCTGATTACCCACGTGACAGTAAATTTCATGACGACACAAATAAAAAGGTTATTGGTAAGTTCAAAGATGAAATGAACTCGAGCGCTATCAAATACTTTATCGGATTACGTAGTAAAATGTATGCCGTATTGTTAGACAATAATAAAATAACAAAAAAAGCAAAAGGTCTGCCTCGTGATTTTGTTAAAAAGTTTATAAAATTTGATGACTACAAGTATGCGCTTGATGGCGGTGTTAGTTTTATAAGAGCTATGTCAATTCGGACAAATCATCATAAGCTCGAAACAGATGTCCTTATCAAACGCGGTTTGAGCAATTTTGATGATAAACGTTATTGCGAAAATGGGGTAGATACATTTGCACTTGGGTATTGTCATGATGATAGAGATATATTTGAAATTTGACAGTAACAAATAGCTACAGTAGCAAAATCAAATATCTAATGATGGACGGCAAACCATTGACAGTTGAAATTAATAATGAAACATCAGGCATATGCTTTAGTGGTACCCGTGACAAGTTAAAACTTTCGCTCATCAGATCTGATGACAGCGAGTATTTTAATTATCTCGAACAATTGTATCAAAAGTTGCTAGCGGAATTTAACAACTTTCACTGTCCGATTAGTCAGCAAAAATACACCAAACTTACAATTGATCTTGATCGGTCAAAGGTGTATTTTATCGACAAAAAATACCCTCTTAACAAATCACAAATAAAAGATTTGTTTGAGTCCCGTCGTTATGTGAGCGGTAAAGTAAAGTTTAGCCTCTATCACCATGATAATGAAATATTTTTGATATCTACAGTTGAGACATTAACAGTTGGTAATGAGGTATAATACCACTTACCTTACTGGAATTCTAATGCGTAATTTAGTCCACAATCGCCACGCTCTGCTAAATCGTAATGATTTGGAAAATTGAGTCTGACATATCATTCTGCTTATTCTGGAAGATCACGTAATTAAATTTTACCTGTTACCTAGGTATTTTGCAACAGGTGTTCTATTGTATTTGTTTGGAGGTCTAGAGGGGTTGTTGAGCTCGGATTCTTAACGCAATTATTGATTGCAACAGGTGATCTATTACGTTACCTAGGTATTTTGTATTTGTTGAGCTCGGATTCTTAACGCAATTATTGATTGCAATAGGTTTTCTATTACGTTACCTAGGTATTTTGTATTTGTTTGGAGGTCTGGAGGGGGTTGTTGAGCTCGGATTCTTACTTTCATCTACTACTATAGCTTCTACCATTACATCATGCAAGAAAGAGTGTGTGAGAATGTCGATACTTTAAGTATAGCTTTTCCGTGAATAATTCATCCCGAACATATAGGTCACACATAGCTCACATTCATTAGTGTCATACCATCAGTCATATCAATCATAGCGGATTTTATACAAGTTTTATTTTAAATGAAATTTGCGAAAATGTCGAATGTTTGCAAACGTTGGCGAGGAAAAGATTCAAAGTATTCAACAAATGTCAAAACTTTCATTTTGAAAAGAAGACAAATGTAACATCGCATTTAAAAAATACTGAATTTATTTGACCCATTCACACAATCTTGTAGTGTTTCTAACATGAATTCAGTAGTCACGCCTTGCATGAAAATATGTTATTACATTTGTTACATTTCTGTCATATGATACGATGTTTGCAGTGTGGCAGTTTAGTGATGTTTAGCACTGGGGCATCATGTCGCAGACATGTAGCATGATGTCTCACCCACTCACATTGTCCTGACACCAGGTCGACCAGTCCTATCACTAACCTCTTAAAGCTTTGCGCCAAGCGAGAGAGCTCGAACCCACGGCCTCCCGCATCCGAGGCGGACGCTATAACCACTAGGCAACTAAGCGGTGACATTGATGACATGGTTATTAATACAGTTGTAATAAATATCGTTCCTTACAAGGTTTAGTTATACATAGCATAACATTGAAAGAACAACGATAGTACCTAATACTATAGTCAAGTAAAATTCCGACCACACCTGTTGGTATGAAATGAGTTTGTGCTTTCTTCCAATTGATTTTGACAGTTATGTTTTTCACTGCAGTTCCAAAGAAAGTTTTCTTGCGGGGAAACTCAAAGAAAAAGGCTCAAGTTACCTAGATATAACATACTGACCTTCTGTTAGTCAGTGACTTTAGAGGTGTCACCCCATCCAAAAGATTGGAGTAGGTTATTACAGCTTTGCAGAGATACCTGTCCGTCGAGTCTGATACTATCTGTAACAGAGAACTTACGAAAATACATTCCAAATCTCATATTACATATGAAGATAAACAAGAAATAATTTACTTATACTAAAATTCATTAAGGACTACCAGCGTCATATTTTTTAAAAATTTCGATATTTGAAATATCATATAAAATTCTGTAAATAATCAAATAAGAAATCAACCATTATAAGGTCAAGATATATCTGACATTTGGTAGGAAAATTGTATTTCTCAATAGTACTCAATTCTTTGTGCATGAATCCAATTAAATGCAAAATTTTGAATATCAGACAGTAAACAAAAATAGAACCAGTAATTACACTATATTTTACAACTTCGCACAATAATAATGAGAGAATTGTCATTATTGACATTGAAACGATGGCTAGAGATGTGATTATAATTTTTAACATAGTTTTAACCATTTTTCAGTCATATTGCTATGACGTCTGCAGTGTGGCAGTTTATAGTGATGTCTAGCATTGGGGCATCATGCCGCAGACATGTAGCATGATGTCTCACCCAGTCACATTATCCTGACACCAGGCCGACCAGTCATAACACTAACCTTTTAATGCCGAGTGTCAAGCAATGCAGCTGTTAGAACCATTTTTTTGTAAGTCTTTGATATAACTCGACTGGGAATCGAATCCACGACCTCCTACATCTGAGGCTTATGCTCTAACCACTAGGCCACCGGAGCAGTTGAAACGATGGCTAGATTGCTTTCACAAAAACGTGTCACTATACTGAAAAAAGTATATGAGAAAAGAATTTAAAGTATGCAAAGAACAAAGAAGTAGACTGCAAGTGTAGTGGTAGACAGTCTTGACAAACAAAGCAGCGGATAAACTTTGCAGAAAAGTGGCCTATTAAATCAGTAAGGTAATGTTATGTATATCTATATTTTTGTAACTCCTGGTACATGCTTTTGTGTGATTTGTATCATTTGTATTCATTTCTGTAAATTTTATTGATTAGCTATAGATGGATTTCGTATGTGCATAGAGTATATTTTAAGATATTAAAGTAAAAATTGCATGTTTGATAAATAAAGATGCTTACGTATGTGTTGACAGTTACTAATAATACAATTATTAATAAATAATACAATTATTAGTAAATATATTTATGATATTCTGCCTGTTTCCCATTTTACAGATCAGTCAGGTGGTAACTTAAAAAAAATAAAGTTAATTCCTATTGAATATATTAGGTCATATGAATATTATTTTGAAAAATTAGATTCAGTAGTAAGTTCTGTCATGTGGGGTATATTGCGATGTATAGTCGTAATGGATTCTTGAAGGTGTATATAAGCAGAGAACTGAACAATGAGATTCATTGCTATTTCGGAATCATTATTATTTCTTGTTTTCTTGTTGTAAAATCAAGTCTGTTGACATATTTTATGCAGTAGAGGAAAAATATTTGTTTCGGTTATTCAGTGGACACAGACAGTGCTCACTGGGCCATAATATTATTTTTTTACTATTGTACATTATTCAAAGAAGCTCTGTACAATGCCATTTTGCCAACTTCATGATTCTAGGCATATTAGTACATTTCCAGTTCTAAATTTTATATGGAACTTTACATTCTTTTGGACTTAAATAGAATTTTATCAGGATTATTATTGATTTACTTCATGACACATTTTCATTAATAACTTTGATAATTAATTATATGCTAAGTTTTTACGAAACTTGTTGGTTTTGATTATATTACTTAGTTTATGACCATAACAGTACTAAATGGTACATGGCAAAAATGTGTGTTCTGCATGATGGTGCTAGTTATGTGTCACTAAATGAATAGTTAATATCACAATTAGATTATTCAAATCATATTGCTGCATAATGTATTGCTCACCATGATGAACAATTAGTAAATCGTAATTAAAAATAGACTTCATTTATTATTATGCCTTCCAAGATGGATCAGTGCCTCTCTCATGTTTGTATACTATAATGTAGTCTTGAAGAATTAGAGAGAAGCTCTGTTTCCAATGATGACAATAATATGCAGTTGTATAAATTGTATCATTAAATATCAGTTGACATATGATATTAATGTTCTTCTCATCTTGTAGCTGAATGGAACAAATTATTCTTTAAATGGCTTATATAATTTTGTTTTAACAATGACAGACACATTCTGAAATGTATTTGTATAAAAGACATCTATGATTTTATATTTAAAATACATTTATATTTTTAATTTTAACATATAGACCATGAAGTTGGAAATAAAGAATATCATATATTCACCCATCATACATTGACCTAAAAGGGACATAACCAATAAAAATAGCAGGTGCCCTTAGTTGAAATACACCAATGTGAGGATATTTGTTAGCTACTTGGGTGGAAATTTGATGGTTGATTTTGACTTTGCTTTTATGAAGCAGTTGAAAAAAGATTTTCATGTATGGTTACTAAGGAAGCCACTCTGTTGCTAGTGGAACCGCTTCAAAAACTGCTTTTATAGAACATATCCTAAAAAACAATTTTACAAAGTTTGATGAAAATTGACATAAGACATTATTAGAGACAAACTCAAAAGGTTTTGAATGTGGTTGCTAAGGAAGCCATAGCATTGTCATAAATCCACTTCATTCTACAAGGACATGTTTTAACAAGTTCTCTCCTGCAGGTGAAGGAGTTACTAATTTATAACAAGAGAAAACAATTGACAAGTGAGAGAATTCATTATGTGACCTGCCAGGTAGTTTATAAGGTGGCTTTGACACAATCTTACCATGTTTAACTGAAATTGGCACAGATGTTGTGGAGAAGAAATCCAAAATCATTTTTCCAACCAATTGCTATAGCAGCAAATCCATGGCTAGGGTAGCTACCCAAGATTATTTGGTTTGAAACATTTTTCCAAATTACATTTTTCTAAGTTAAATCAAAATTGGCACACAGACAAGAAGACTTAAATATATTTTCATTTTGATTACTATGGCAGACTTATTTGTACTAGGGAGGTCATCCCAAAATTACTTTGGCAAATCATGCCATAAAGAATATGTGTATCATATTTGTTGAAACTGGTCCAACAGTTTTCAATAAAAAAAATTGTAAAAAAAAATTTAGTAATGATGGTGAATGACACAATAAATGATGCATGATGAACACAGGGTCTTAGCATAATGCATGCAATGAGATAAAAATGACATTATTCTATGTTTATATCATCAAGCTGAAAGTTTTTCCCATCTTTCAAAATATTTATGCATGATACAGACTTCAATGTTCTACAGACAATTCTGCCTCCCTCAGCTTGTACTTCATAAATTTTATATTTTAGTCAGCGTCTTAAAAAATTATATCCCTCTACTCTTGCAGAGGTCTTACAAAGGAGGTCATAGAAAGAAGAAATAAACCTCTGATGATTTTCTATTTAGTCCTAATTTCAGGTTACAGTATATTTTTTATTTTTTTTTAAAAAAAACCAGTTACTTAAAAGTGGTTGTGTAGTGGTTTAAATTTTAGCTATATTCATTCTGTACTTTTTTGGAATTATTTATAGATTTTTATTTAGAAGGCATGCAACCATTTGACAGAAAGGATCCTCAGCATATAGACTTAAATTAGACTAACAGTGACAATATATTAACACAATTTAAAACCAACAGTGGTGCAATCATTTAACCCTGATATCCTGCTGTTCCAGAGTACAACTAGCTGCATAACAGCTAAACTGTAGGATTTAGGATTTAAAACCAGACGGTATATTACTAATTAGATTGGACCCCCAAGTGGCAGAGTGGTCTAAAGCATTGTCCGTTATGGATCACTGCCATCTCACCTTTGTCTGCGTGGGTTCCAGTCTAAGATTCAGTGAATGTGGATATGTGAGAAAGCTTGCCAGTAGCTTCTTGTGGGTCGGTGGTTCTTTCGGTGGATTTCCCGGTTTCTTCCTCCACCAATAATACTGGCCACCATGAATAGCCTATCGTGTGCTGAAAAATGGTGTTAAGCCTAACAACAACAACAACAACAACTAATAAGACGGTTTTAGGAAACTAGAGTGGCAAATAGAGTTGACGAATGGGTTATGTAGAACACATTATCGTTCTGGTAGACCCGAAGCGAGTGTGTTCCTAGGGGATAATGTAGTTTGTAGGTGGTGAGTGTCTCTAGAAACAAAAGTGACGAGGCTACAGAGAGTCTAGCGCTGGTAGAGTTGTATTTCTCTCTGTGAGACGCCACTAGGTCTGATCTAGTTACGACGTAACCACAATCTATGAGAAACATGGATCCTAGCGAGTGTGACATGTAGAGCGGAGGGGAGGACGCATGACAGAGGTAGACGGGGTGGATTGTCGACGGAGGTATGTGAGGTGCTGTAGTGGAGTTTTGGCCTATGGAGTGGGAATATGTTGAGTTAGTGAGTGAGTTGCACTAACGCACACCATTGTACATAGATTAATTATTATATGTATCATAAGTCTGAAATCGTAGTTATGTATCTTGGCCTGGGGATCGTGAGTTCTTGATACGTTGGCACACACTGGGATATTCCAGCATTGTAAATACCCGCTTTAGCCGCCTATTATATAATCATAGTACACTCATGTAAACTATTGAGCGGTACAACTTTTTATTTTACTATAAATATTCTAC